CCTCTATTACACAAAGGCCCCAGAATCTTCCAGTTCTGACGAATTGGTACGACCACAGTTACAGGGTCTCGAGTTTTCCCGGCCACAGTGTTAGTTACCGAATCCGTTTTTCGAAATTCAATTTTCGTCTCCAGTAGGAATTGAACTTGTACTCAACTGCTTGGGGGTGCGATAACTTCACCACTTCACTAAGTCGCCACACACATTAAAGATTCTTTATGGATATAGCAAATAACATCTTTATTAATAAAATTTTATAACAATAAAATAAAAAAAATAACAACCAATAAAGTTATTATTTGATTGATTATTACACTAAAAAATACATTAGTTATGAACTTATTGTTGAATTGGTGTACAAACTATATTTTCAGAAACAAGTCTTTCATGAATATGGTATGAATAACTAATGATAAATTCTTTAATAACATGTTCATCCATGGTAAATTGGTAGATACCAGATAGATCGGTATTGAAAGAATATTTATTATTAGGTTGAACTTCGTGTTGAGTATCATTGGTATCTTTAACGTATAAATAACATTTAATTTGATTCATATTTATATTTAATTTCTTACCGTTGTATCTATAATGTATATGTAGTTTTGGTTATCAATAGTGGTTCGCACTATACTATATTCATCATGGTAAATTTCTAATTTGGGTTCGTCATTATAATAAAGAATATATCTTTTATGTTTTAATTTCTTAAACACATGTTTTCTTTTACGTATAATGACCCGGTTTTCACCTCTCTTCTCATAACGGTCTTTTGCAAAGGAGTACTCTTGTTCGTATAATGTAAACCCCTTTAAATCGTAGGTATTATTGGTTTCATTGTATTTTAGATAGAGAAAATAATAATCCTTATGGTTTGAAAATATTTGGATAGTAAGTACGTCACCACTCTCAATTTCTATTGTGATTGATGATATTTGTAATGATATTGATTTATTATTAATGCAATAAAACATCTAAAAATTTTATAACTTTCGATTACATTATATAATAGTTAGATTATTAGTTTTAACACTAACCCACATTTGGTCGTCATCCGTTCATTGGTTAGTAAATAAATGATTATTGGTTAATGAAATCTATAAAAATTGATTGGTGTCTCTTTATACTCTTAGACATGATTTTCAAAATAAAATTATTTATAATGGGTAACTTGTTTGGTTTGTTGATACACTCGAATTACCATGTCTGAAGCTATTGTTGATGAAATATCTGGAGAAGAATCTCAACTACCACCTAGTCATTGTTCTATCAAAAAATATTTAAGTTCAATACGTGTTCATATAATCACATCTATGTTTCTCGAGTCCTTGGAACCAAAACTAACCTATATAAAAACTAACTATATCAAGGAACAATACAAATATGTTTCGAAAGAAGACTACAAATCTATGTTGGCTTTGTTGTGTGAGATTGAATTGTTGACTAAAAGGTTAAAACTTTGTCATGAACAAAATATAAAATATATGAATGAAATCGATTTGTTGTATAAAAACAATCGTCGTGGTTGTGGTAGTGGTTAGCAATAAAATATAAACAGAAACTATAAAAAAATATAAATTATTATTTAAATTATTTATAATCCAAATATGAAATTATTAATTGTTTTAATTCGTGGTATTGTTAGTATTACTTATTGAATCGAATAAATATAACAATTTTTAAATGTACTTTGGTAATATTCTAATTCTAAATCATGTGAGTCTAAATTTATATTTCTATACTCCAAATTGACAAATAGATCTCTGCGTGTACCACCACCAAATCTGAACCCTTGTGGATAAAGGAAAAAATATTGCTATTACTATTTTTGGGAAATGCTATGTTGAACAGACCATATAAAATATCATACGTAAATATAAAACTTTTGAAAGAATGTGAATCGTTCGTCGTGTTATTTGAGCTAATACTAAATATCATATTTAATAGTGTTAAATAAAATCTACCGATTAGCATATCGTTATACATATCAATTAAAACTAGCACGTTAGCTTGGTCTTTTATTTTTTCATAACACTCTAAGTTTGTCTTTAATATATCAATTTCTGGTGAATTCACCAGCTCCTTTCCTGGTCCAATAATCATCCAATCATAGATCATAGTAAAGTTTTTGATGTTTGATTCGTGAGTTTTCTCAAGGGATGTTGGCTAGTATCCCATTTCCACGATGCTAACACCATCGATTTGATATTCATAACTATCAATAAGATTGCTCAGTATTGACTTTGTTTTGTTTGATAGATCCAGTATATTTATGTCTTCGTATATCCATTTATCTGCTATATCAGAGGGTGTAGTTACGTAATGACCATGCTCGTGATCTGTAACTGGGATTAATTCTGTATCAATGTGCTTTCCGATCCAATATATAATTGATTCATTACATTTATCATTGTTTATTTTTCTTATTATATATTGCCATAATAGTGTACTATCAAATTTTATGTGATATTTAAAATTTAATATAAGCGCAAGGAAATCAGAAGAAAACTTGTCGTATATGATATCTTCTTTGGTTATCATCTTTATAATTGATAAAAGTATTTTCTTGCACTCTCCTCTCCATAAAAACGGAGTTAATTTACCATGATATGGTCTTCTAAAGGCAGTTGTAGATTCTTTGCTAGATAATTGGCGATTAAATGAAATCTATGAAATAAAATAATTTATCACATTTAAATAGTGCTTCAAACAACGAAGTCTGTGTGAACCTGTCGAAATCGTTATTATAATAATAAAGTAAAGAAAAAAATACATTTGCTGTTTTAATCATGATGTCTTTCATATCAATCACTATACGGTCCTCAGAATCTCTTTCAAATGTCTTATTGAATGGATTGCGTATTAACTTTTTGTAAAAATACTCATTTGTAACTAATATACATTGGTTGGCAAAAAAAGACCCCATCCTCTAATGTGATTTTTATATCACAACAATTGGGATCATCGTATAGTTTTTTCATATAAGATCAAAGTGAATGTAAACTCTTCTGGTTTAAATTTAAATCCATTATGTTTATTAATCATTGATTGAAAATACATGTATTTATATATTATTTAATAATCAGATTCTGTGTCTTTTCTCCACCAATCATCATATATTTGTTTAATTTTATCATTTTTATTTTTTAAGAGTCTGATTAATAATAGTTTTTTGAGTACGAACTCGTTAAAGTGATAATTTAAATCTTGACAATGACACAAATCTACCCTCTTGCGCCAAAACGCCATATCCTTAACCCATTAGTTCCTCTTTGAGAATCAATAATGTATTTTTGATTAGTTAATATGTTATAAACGATGAAATTTCTATCGTTGTTTATATTTTTAATCATGTAGGGGTATTTAAAATAATTTTTATTAAATATTTTTATCAGGATTTTGTATTTGATTTTAAACGTCCTACTTGCAGGATAAAACCTCTTGCTGTGAGATACGGCCGTCGTAGTCAACGAAGACCAATTATAATAGATAGATCTAATATTTGAAAATCTATCATTTAAAATTAAATTTTTAGTCACGTTATATTCAATATAATATTTATGAGTTGGTCTTGGATTATAGCATATATCATCAATGTCTATTAGATAAAGTGTAATCAATACATTTTTAGATGCGATGAAAAAATCTTTAGAAATAAAAGCTAGTTTACGATACTCTTTAAAATTATTATAGTTATAATTTCCAAGCACCTTTTTAATAATACCATATTCTGTTAAAATCCTATTATTTTTCTCTATTTTATTTTTTGGCATAGTTCACGAATTCAAAAAAAATATTTTATTTTTACACATATATTTATAGCTTACTTTGCTTATTAATTTAGTATAACGTAAATAGGTTGTGCTCGTGTTAATTGCATTAACACAATCCTTGTCACCTGATAATAATTTTTTTATTTGGTAATTCACTATAGTTTTTTACAGAATAGATTAATATTTGTTTCACTAAACAATCATGTAATCTCCCAGAAATTAATCTTTGATATACATTATGATTTGTTGATATGGTGTTGTGTTTAGAAATTAAAAGATCAGGAAATAATTGATCTCTGAAACAAACCCTGTGGTTCTTACTAGGTGATAAAAAGTATATGTATTAGTTAGAATTGACGTTTGATAGAGAGTCATATATAAAGAACTTACTAGCCATTGAAGTGACAAAAAGTATATAGTTAGTTAGAATTAATGTTTGTACTATTATTTACTGTAAAAAAAAAAGAAGTCATATATAAAGAACTTACTAACTATAAAGAAGACAAAAAGTATATAGATTAGTTAGAATTAACATTTGATAGGCATTAATTTGTACCATTATTTACTATAAAAAAAAAAAAAGTTTTATATAAAGAGCTTACTCGCTGTTAAAGCGACAAAAAGTATATAGATTAGTGTCGTGTCTTTTAGAAGTTATACGGGGTCTTCGTTCCCTTTTACTTAGAATTTCTCTTGGCTTTCCAATTCCACTCGCTTGGCTTTCCACACAGGCTGGAGTATCGTTCC